TTCCAGTCACCGGTTGCCTTGGCGATGTCATCACCAACCTTTTTTGGAGACTGTAGAAATAAAGGTATGTAATCACATTGTGCCCAAAGTGGAACCACAGCCTTAAAACCTGCCCAATACTTCTCACTTAGCAACACCCTAAATCTTTCTTATCCAGTACACAGGAAGCTGGCTGAAGCACCTAAGTAAGGGTAGCCTCCTGATCAAAGCAGAGCTATCACCACAGTATAAATTGAGAAAGTGACGCTGGGCCTTAAGTCTTGTCCCAGGCTACAAGCTGCTGGCTCAGGGCCACAACTGGGCCAAGTCCCTTACTTGCTGACTCCCTCATAAGGACCCATGTGGTGAAGTCAGGGTTTTCAACCTTGGTTACATTAGAATCACCTAGGGAACTTTCAAGATCTTAGGTTCACGTGTCAGACCTATACAAGTTCATCTGTGAGGAAGGGCATTTGGGCATTTGCTACTTTGAAACTATTTCCCAGTTACCATTAGCCTAAACAGGAAGCTAAGTGTCCCTTAAGTGCCATCTTAGCTAAGGGCCAAGATAGAGAGCAGTAAGACACTGGTTAAGCAAGACCCAGGGGAAAGAACATTTGGGACAAGGAACCACTGCCTAGTGATAGGGAACTGCAAGTTCAGTAAGAGTACAACATGGAGGTGAAGCAGGCCGGAGGCTGGTGACCAAATAGCTCTTAGGTAAAACTAGTCATATTAACCATTAGGTTTATGTTTACAGAGTTGGAAATGCTCACCAGGATCTTCACCCACACCCCATTTCCCTGGCGAGGAAATGCAGACTAAGGCTAATAGGCTGCCTACTATCACCAAGCCACTCCTGACTTCAAAACTCTGACTTGTCCTCAGGCCCATCCCTCAGGATCACAAAAAGCAGCAGGTAAGAGACATGTGGACAGTAATACCAACTTCAAGGGACTGTGTTCAGTTCTTCAGGTATGACCTTCCTATGGTACCTCCTGCTAGTTCCCCGAGTCAGGTCTAGTAGGGGTGTCTGCGCAGCCCGAGTTTAACACATTGACTGCCACACTAGAAAAAGAAATTTCTCCCAAGGGCCACGGTGTTTTATTACAAAAATAGAAATAAAAACTTGGAAAACAAAACGATGCTTCATAATTTCATGAAAAATTTATTTTTGATTGTTTTCTGTGAGTGAATTATATACAATTTGAAAAATAGTTCACGCAGCTCCCAAGGTGAAGAGGCCTGTGAGTTACACACGCTTCACGAAGTCCCAGACTCAAAACTAGCTTGAATTAAATATAACTCACATGGCAGTTAATACGTTAACTTTGCTCTCACGTTAAGTGAAGAAACGCCCTTAGCGGGGATGACTTACCAGACCCAGGGGGCCGATCTTGGGGGCCAGGGCAGACGTGGCACCGACTTCGCCACCGGTGCACCTCAGGTACACTGGGAGAAAGGAAGGATTAGTGCCTCTGCGGAGGGAGCCACAGCTCTCTCTCTTCATCCTTCCCGGAAAGTCACACCATCCTTTGCCCTTCCCAAAACTGCACCAGACGCCCGACGTTCGCAGCTCGGAGCCGCGCAGCGGGCCGGCGTGGAGGCTGCCCCGGCCGCCGGCGAACCCAGTCCCGGGGGCAGGAACGCCCGGAGACAAGCCTTACCCTAGGGCGTGCGGGCTGCCAAGCCGCCACAAGTCGTATGGTCCTCCCTCCCCATTTACAAGCGGGGAAACTGAGGCCCAGAAAGGCTAAGAGACTCGGCCAGGACCGCACAGCACGGGAAAGGCCTCTAGGAGGCTTTAGAGCCCCACACGGGAAAGCTTTGCACGCGCGGCGGCGGCCGCGGCGAGGAAGGAGGCTCCATCCCGCAGCCCCGGCCGCAGCTAGAGCACGCACCGACTTTGATCTCGTTGGGGTCGAACTTAGGCGGCATGGTGGAGGCGGCTGGTGTCGGATGAACCCGGATTCGGGACGACCGAAGAAAGTTGCACCTTGGCCTCCTCCGAGCCGAAAACCAAAAGGCCGGAAACGAGCAGACCACGCCGGATATAGTCAGGAAAGCGCCGCTCTCGCGAGAACTGTCGTCTCCGCCCAGCCTCCCAGAGACGCCCTTGCTGCCATGTTTCTTGTGGGCAGGCGCTTGAGGCTGATGGCTAGAGAGTCCGACACCGCGGTGAGCTGTGGCTAGGGATTCGGAGGGGAGGGTGGTTCGGGGAGTTCGCCCCGGCGGAGTCAGGGAAGAGGGGTCTGCTCCCGAGATCTAGGGCCCTGCTGTTCCCCTTGCTCCTTTATTGTGAGGGTCACCCCGAGGTCCCCGTCACCCAATCCCAGAGCCCCGCCCCTCCCCTGAGGAGTCCGCACCCCCATTCCGGCACCCCAGTACCCCGGCGATCCTGGGCCCCCTCAAACTCCTTCGTGCTGTGTGTGTTTTAGTTACCAAAACAATCTATTCCAGTCTAAATCCAGTCCAACTCTTAATTCTGAGATTCCGCGGTTCCCAGAGTCTCAGACTTCGTCATCCTGGTCTGCATGACTTTCTGAAATTGTGAGTTTCGGTCCCCAGCTCCTGCGTTTGGAGAAGACCGGACTCCGGCTCTGCCGGGGCCGTGCTGGGTGATCTATGATCGCGCGTCCATGACCAAGCCCTCCGAGTGATCAGCCTGCCTTAGGGTCCACCCGAGGGTTGCAACGTGGGGGCCATCTACAAAGCCAGGTTGGCCTCTGCCCACCCCAGCCGGGGAGGGATGGGTGTGGCTCTCCCCATCTGGGCTGGACGTCGTCAGGAGGGAAGGGATGAGGGATAGACATCTGGGGGCAAATTGGAATGAACTGATCTTCTAAGAGGGATGGGGGAGCGATGGTCATGGGGAGGGGGCATTGGGGAGGAGAAGGGGAGGGCTGGTCATAGGAAGCAGAGGGTAAGTGCTAGTCATCAGGGAGGGATGGGGGACGGCTGTTTGCAAACCATTCTCCAATCTTGCTGGCAGGTGGGTTGACAAGAGGGCCCTGAGCTGGCCCTGCAGGCCTGGCCACCTCCCCACACAGCTAACGCCCACAGGAGCAGACCTGTGGTCTCCTCCCCTCCCGCTGAGAACTGGGTGTGTCTTCGACTGCATCTCCTCCCCAAGCCTCTTCTCCCCTAGCTCCTGTGGTAGGCCCTGAATCAATGTTTGTTACACATGTGGTGCTTTGTGGCTGACATTGATTGAGTGCTCATTATGTGCCAGGTACTGTGCCATGTACTCTGCATATATGAAATCACTGGATCCTCACAGAACCCACTGTTGGTAGGATTACTACTCACACTTTACCAGTGAGGAGACTGAGGCTCTGAGGAGTGAACTAAGGTGATGCAGTTGATGGGCAGCAGATCTTGGATTCAAACCCAGTTATATTTTATCACACATCCTGTGCTGTTAGCCATACATTTCTTTGGATGGTTGCTTCCTGGCCTATTGCTGTCCTTATTGAGCACTAATATTTGCAGATACTGGGCAGGCAGTGAGCACCTCACTTCTGAGTTCAGGACAGTGTATTTCATGTGTGCCAAGTTACGTTAGCACAAAGGAAGGGCAAACTCCACAGAATCAGGACTGGAAAGACCAGAGACACAGGCTGGGTTTGCTACAATTCAAGCCATATAACCAGATCACTGAACTTAATAAGGGTCCGTTTCTTCACTCCAAACAGGGATTTGGTGAAAATCAAATGGAATAGTAAGTGCAAGGACTACTTTTTGGCTTTTATTTAACTCAGAGATCGCTTTAGTTATGACGTGCTTGAGCTCCCATGGTCGTGGCTGGCTCTGGTTTGATTCTGCTGATGCCACTCTGACAGTGTTTCCAGGCTAGCAGTGATTCATCAGCTGAGTCTGTTAGAATCCTCAAAGAACATCTTAGGAAAAGCCCTGTGGAAACTTCTGGCAAGCTCAGGAAGGGAAAAGGATAATGCCAAGGTTCTCACAGTGGGTCAGTGGCAAATGTAGGCCAGAACCCAGGTCACTTGGCACAAGATGTGCTCTTTCCACCCCATCCTGCTGCTTAGTGTTTAGTCAACGATGAACAGAGAGTACTGCACACCTGTGTGGGGCTCAGGGCACAGACTGAAGGATGAGACAGACACAGCCCCTGCAGACCAGCTGCGTGCTCTGTGTCACTGTGCTACCTGTCCTGGGCGATGGGAGGCTGTGACACAGTCCCCAGGCCCTAACTTCTCTCCTGTGCCCCAGTGTCCTGAAGATTGCTCTGGGAAAAGGGAAGGATGCCGCTCTTCTTCCGGAAGCGGAAACCCAGCGAGGAGGCTCGGAAACGCCTGGAATACCAGATGTGTCTGGTGAGGGAATGTGGGTTTCCTCTGACTCCATCCCATCTCCTCCTCTGCCCCAGGAAATAGGGTTCCACACTGCCCCCAAACAAGCCGGGCTTCCTTCCATCTGCCTCCCCTACCCCCTAGAGAAATACCTGACTCAGCCCCCACCAGTGAGGCCCCTGTCAAGAGTGCTTCCCCTCCTAGACTGAGCACACTTGTCATTGCTTGTTCAGCAGGGACCCTTGGTCCACCTGCCGAATGGACTAGCAGAACCCAATAGTGTCTATGGACCCTTGTAGCTCCTTAATTTTGTGTCTCTTTGCCTTGTTTGTCCACTCTGCAAGGATGCTTTATTTGAATACTTTTTCAAAAGTTCTTTTTATCCTTAGGCAAAAGAAGCTGGGGCAGATGACATTCTTGACATCTCTAAATGTGAGCTCTCAGAGGTAAAGTGAGGGTACTGTTCTGGCTGTGAGTTCGGTCTGTCCTGTTTTGTTGAATCACATATCCCTGGGAAAGACAGATACGTTCTTTAAAAAGGCCAGAAGCACTAGTCAAGAGACATTTCCTTAGATTTCATTCTTGTCCAAAAGAATTGAGATGATCTGTTGGCCTCAGCATAGTCTCCAAGAGTGAATGAGTCTGGTTAGAAAATGTACCCCAGATTCCTGGGGTGCTAGAAGACTCTGACATTCTCCAGCCCCTGGTGGGGTTCATGATGGGGGCGAGGTAAGTGCGGCAGGGCAGTCTCCTGCCAACTGACTGAGGGGCCCGACCACATCCCCAGCACCACTGCTCACCAGCCTTGCCCCTAGGCTTAGCACTGCTCTCCGCAGCAGCGCTTGGTGCCTATCCTCGCTTTTCCCCCTCCTGCCTGGCTCTCCCTCACATGAATGCCACTCAGAGAACAAATTAAAAACTGGCAGAAGGAGAGATGTTTACTCTTCTTTATCTTGTCTTAGATTCCATTTGGAGCTTTTGCAACATGCAAAGTTCTACAGAAGAAGGTGAGATGGAGCTTCACTTTCAGAGAATTGCTTACTGCACGTTCGCTTGCTTGAACCATGTATTTCAAACATGTGGGACTTTTAGGAGCTGTCTTCCTGGCACAGACACCTCCCTTCTCTCTGGTTCTCACCCTTTTGGCCTGCAGCAGGTGTCTTCATGGATAGGAGAGTAGGCTTTGGGGCTGGGCAGCCCTGGGTCACATTCTGGCTCTGACCCTCACTTGCCCCGTGCCTTGGGTAACTTCCTTAATCTCTTACATCTCAGTTTCTTCATCTGTGAGATGAAGACATTCACAGTTCCACTCTCTCAGAGGTGTTGTGACAATTAATTGAGTGGTAGATAGCTAGCTAGGTAGTGGTATATGTGTGCTGAGTATAATGCCTGCCACATAGGAAGTGTGTGTTAACCCTAGTGTTAATAATAATAGACACTCATTTCATTCCGGTCATGCATGGGAGATTAGGAGGGGAATGAATGAATGATTTTTCAGAAGAGCATCGCAGCTTTGCATGCAGATAGATAAGAGTGCTCTAAATGAAGTACCTAAATGAAGATAGGTAAGAAGTATTTCTTACCAACAGACTAGTGAACTCCTTGTCACTGGAAGTATTAAAGCAGCAGTCAATGCCTGTGAAAAATAGCAATAGATGTCCGGATTTGAGCACTGGACCATGTGCCAGACCTGAGCCAAGGACCTTTTGTCCATTGGTTTTTTTAATCATTTTGACAGCCCTGGAGGCAGGCACTTACTATTTTCTATTTTCCACGTGAAGAGGCTGATATTGGGGAAGGTTATGATCAGGACAACTGCAGGGGGATCACCTCTCAGGATGAAGGTAGAATTAGAACTCTAAGGTCCCTTTCACCCTTGAAGTTCCAGATTTTAAGGAAGTTCATCTGATTCCACATTGGGAGATTCCGTGATTCTGACCCGTGTCCCCTCTTGCAGCATCTGGGAGAGCAGAGATGCCAGGGCATGGGGCATGGTAGGGCCACCGTGCATCCTTCTCTGCGCTGGCTGTGAGTGCTCAGCCTGCCCTGCCTGCCACTCTTCCTCAGCCCGACAGTTCCCCAACTCTTTTCCACACAGGTGTTGATCGTCCATTCAAACCACCTCACTTCCCTGCTTCCCAAATCCTGCAGCCTCCTGAGTCTTGCAACCATTAAGGTACTGAGCCCTCCTCCCAGGCATCTGGGGCTGGGTGCTCTTTGTTTCAACATGAGAGGCACCTTCTCGCCACTCCAGAGCCTGGAATCTGAGGGGTGACTGACTGATAGGTGTCTCCTCCTGCAGGTTCTGGATCTCCACGACAATCAGCTGACAGCCCTTCCTGACGATATAGGGCAGCTGACAGCCCTCCAGGTAGGGCTCCAGGAGACAGAAGCTACCTCTGATCGCCTAAGTGAGAAATTGCAGTCACATGAGCCTGGAACGTTCTGGCTGTGCTGGCCAGGAGAAGCAGGCTGCACTTGGTGCCAGCTCCACCCTCCCCTTTGCTCTTCTTTTTTTGTTGTTTTTTTGTTTTTTTGAGACAAAGTCTCACTCCGTTGCCCGGGCTAGAGTGCCATGGCGTCAGCCTAGCTCACAGAACCTCAAACTCCTGGGCTCAAGCGATCCTCCTGCCTCAGCCTCCCCAGCAGCTGGGACTACTGACATGCGCCACCAAGCCCGGCTAATTTTTTTATATATATTTTTTTAGTTGTCCAGCTAATTTCTTTCTATTTTTTTTTTTAGTAGAGATGGGGTCTCACTCTTGCTCAGGCTGGTCTTGAACTCCTGAGCTCAAACGATCCCTGCCCTCCTCGGCCTCCCAGAGTGCTAGGATTATAGGCGTGAGCCACCGCGCCCGGCCTCCCCTTTGCTCTTAAGACACCCAGAGGACGCCCTTGCTGTTGCAGACTGGGCTGTGGGTGTCTCTCAACCATATCTTTGGCATCTCTTTTTTGGGATTTCATCATGAGCTTCTACAGTTTTACAGAAAACAAGCACCCAGTGAGTCTACCTCTGAAAAATGATGAATTCAGCACTGACTCACATCTCACTTCTAACTGCTGTCAGGAATAGCACCTGCGCTTACTGAGTGCTCGCCCCGTGCCAGCCCTGAGCTAAGCTTGTCCCTTGCTTTACCTGGGGAAGCCACCCTGTGAAGCAGGAGTTCACGTGGCCCCATTTTACAGAGGAAGAAGTGACCTCCCACTGCACTTAGACTGAAACCCATTCTTTTCACTAGGACCCCCCAAGACCCCATGCGATGGCCCCCGCCCATCTCTCCAGTCTCCCCTCCTACTGTCTCCCCTTTGCTGGCTGCAGTCAGCACCTCAACCTTCTGTCCCTCCGAGCCCCACCCCTGCAGGGCTCTTCCTTCTGCCTAAGTGGCTCTTCCTGGTGCTATTTGCGGGGCTCATCCTTCATCTCTTAGGCCAGACGTCTCTGCAGATCCTCCCCTGAGCTCTCTAAGTGGAGCCCCCTTACTCATCTGTCTCCACCCTGGCCTATTTCCTGAGAGCACAGCTATGGTCTCTAGTCCCTATTTATGTGTCTGCTGGCTCACTGACTGTCACCCTGACTGAAATGTAGTCTCTGTGAGGGTAGCACCTCTACCTAGCATGCTGCCCAGCATGTGGAGAGGACCAAGAAGGCATTTGAATGAGCAACCCCAAGATGTAGGTGATACTGTCACATTTTACAGAAAAAACTGAGGTCCAGAGAGATGACTGTAGCTTGTTCAAGGTCACACAGAGAACATGTGGCAGGATAGTAGTAGTTGCCACCACTTTGAGCCACAGTAAATACTTTGGCTAGGATCTTAGGAACTTTATTTTTATATGTGTATGTATATATATATATTATTGGGTTTCTTTTTTTTTTTTGAGACAGTCTCACTCTGTCACCACAGGTAGAGTACAGTGGTGTCATTGTAGCTCACTGCAACCTCAATCTGGGCTCAAGCGATCCTCCTGCCTCAGTCTCCTGAGTAGCTGGGACTACAGGTGTGCACCATGACACCTGGCTGATTTTTCTATTTTTAGTAGAGATGGGGTCTCGCTCTTGCAGGGGCTGGTCTCGAACTCCTGAGCTCAAGCAGTCTTCCCGCTTCAGCCTCCCAGAGTGTTAGAATTACAGGCATGAGCCTCCACGCCCCACCTTCCTTGTATGTATATTTTTGTAGAATTGCTGCATTCACTGCTTTGTGACTTTTGGGTACCTGACAATAACACATGTTGTCCTTTGGTTCATCAAATATTCATTTCCATGTTATTTTTATTGGCTATGTAGCTTTCCATTGTATCTATTTTAATGGCTACTTAGTGTGTCATCCTGTTGGCCTCACCGCCCTCAAGGTGCCACATCCTGGAGGGAGCACAGCTTTCAGGATCCAACAATCCTGGGTTCCAATCCCAGCGCCACTGGCTACCGGCCTGGAGACCCTGGGCATGTCACATGTCTTTGTGCAGCTGGGTTTCCTCCTCCTCAACACTGGGGTGACTAGAGCCTCATTGGGTGCTGCCTCACCCAGACCCCTGAGTCTGTTAGTCTCCTTCCTCCCTCCATGATTGGGGGTAGTTAGTGAGCGTTTCGTAGATGGTATAGATGATGGAACCTAGCCAGGACTGGGTTCAAGGTCTAGCTTTGCTCTCTTGAGCACGTGACTTCACCACTCTGAGCCCCAGTTTCCTCATATCTCAAATGGGATTGTAACAATCTATGTCTTCCTCACAGGGCTGGCAGGAGATGAAGGTGTGTGTGTGTGATGCCTGGATAAGGCGTGGCTGAAAGCAGGGGTGAGGGGTGCAGTGGTAGTCCCTGTGGTCTGCGTGTGGGTTCCCATGCTATTTCTTCCTGCCTCTTAGGTATTGAATGTGGAAAGGAATCAACTGACACATCTCCCACGTTCCATTGGGAACCTGATCCAGCTCCAGACTCTCAATGTTAAAGGTAGGGGGGCCACGGAGTCCTGTCCCTGTGACTCTCGGTCAGCTCTGGGCTGTCCCCACTGGACAGGGTGCTCCACTTGGGAGCCACTGAGCATAAGGGCAGCTAGTCCCCAGGTGTGGTTGTAAACTGGACTGACAACCTACTAGATTGGTCTGTCTCCATGGTAACCAGTGACAGGCTGTCTGGAGGGTTCCTGCAACAGCTGGGAGCCAGGGCCCTGCGGGGTGGGAGACAGTGTTGGCAGCCCAGCCCCCGAGACTCAGCAATTCATATTTATAATAATGGGTGGTGGCAGACTGATTGGGCGACAATTGAGGAGCCACAGTAACAGTTCTGAGAGGGCTCCATGCTCAGCAGTGCGGTGAGCCTCAGGACAAGTCCACCAGGGTGGTGGTGATGTCCCCGTTCACAGACGAGGAAAATGAGTGTGTCGTGCTCGAGACTACCCAGTGTGATCGTGACAGAGCCACGCTTCTACTGTAGGCTCCTTACCTGCAGATGAGCACTTGACCCCCAGACCCCAGCTCTTCCACGTCTTCTCCCTGTCCTTCAGCACTTTCTGCACAGAATGCCTCAGCCTGTCTAACTGTAATGTGTGAATAATCATAAAAATGGTGGCACCCCATTTAATCACTTTCCCTGTGATAGACAGTGTGCTGTGGCCCAGGGAGGTAAGGTTAGGTGTCACTTACTCAGCTAGTAAGTGGCAGAGCGGAAACTTGAACTGAGGCTCCACCTTCATGTTCTTACTCACAGAGACTCAGGGCCTGGGACCTGGCACACGCTCCAGAGGTCAGAGTCCGAGCAGGTATCAGGTAGGAAGCTGGTGACAGGGCTTTGGGGTGTTGAGCTGTGCCATTGGGCTCTCTGCAGACAACAAGCTGAAGGAGCTTCCAGACACCTTGGGGGAACTTCGGAGCTTACGGACTCTTGACATCAGTGAAAACGAGATTCAGAGATTGCCACAGATGCTGGCTCATGTTCGAACCCTGGAGGTAAGTGGGGAGCCCACCTCCCCTCCTTCCGCATTCCTGAGTGCCTGCCCTGTCACAGGGTGCTGGGGTCACGGAGATCCCAAGGCGTGGTCCTTAAATGCTTGTGGAGAGACCAGTGTGTCTACATTTGCTGCCATAATGGGGGCAGAAAAACATACTTCTGGAGTGAAGAGGAAAGAATGCTGAATCTGAACGAGGCCAACACTTTATGGAAGTTGTGATATTGAGCCAGACCTTGAAAGAAGAATAAGATTTTTGAGAAGTGGGTATGGATAACAGTAGCGTCCCCAGTGGAGGAGGAGGCAGGAGGTGGGGAGGCAGAGGGTGTCTTGGGGAAGGGCGAGGAAGTGATGTGTTTGGAAGTTTCTGTGCCTAGAGGGCCCAGATCATAAAGAACCCAGAAAGCTGGGAAGGAAGGAGGGAGGCAGCCAGGGAGCTGGGCCTCAGCTGGGCAGTGCGGAGACTCAGTTTCCTCAGAGCTGGGTCGGGAGCGCACCCCTGGGCCCCTGTGTCAGTCAGCACAGGCTGCCGTAACAAGTAGCACAGGCTGGGGCGGGGATGCGGTGGGGCTTAAACAACAGGAATTTATTTCCTCACAGTTCTATGGGTTAGAAGTCCAGGATCATGGTGTTGGCAGGGTTGGTTCCCTCTGAGGTCTCTCTCCTTGGCAGGTAGATGACCATCCTCTCCCTGTGTCTTCTGCCATATTCCCTCTGTACATGTCTGTGTCCAAATTTCCTCTTCGTAGGACACCAATCATACTGCATTAGGGCCCAGCCCAATGACCTCTTTTTGACTTAATCGCCTCCTTAAAGACCATATGTCCAAGTACAGTCACATTCTGAGGTATGGGAGCTTAGGATTCCAATGTATGAGTTTGGGTGGCAGGGACGCAATTCAGCCCAGAGCAGACGCTGACACGAGGTGGCCTGCTCGGGGAAGTTGTGCTCTACCAGCCATGACAACGAGGTGGAGCACATTTATCTGGTACTTTCTGATGGTAGGCACTTGTCCTGCGTTAGCTCCCTGCATCCTCACAGAAGTCTCATGGGGCAAATACCATGGTGCAGATGATGAAACTGAGACACGGACAGTTTTAGGAGCTTGCCCCAGGGCCACACAGTTAGTAATAGCAGAGGTGGGTGTAGGTCAGGTGGTCTGAACTGGTGCCCACGCTCCCCACCCTGTGCTGCTTGGCTTCTGGAACAGGGACTTACCCATAAAGTGATGAGCAGTCTGGCCAGGCATCCCAGAGTCCTCTGGGATCCATTAGTAGATCACCTGTCTCAGGCCAGATGCTGAGTTGAGGCATCTGTGTCAGAGTGGGCTGGTGGCCACAGAGATGGACCAAAGGGAGGTGACTGACCTCAGTGGCTGGACACCTCCTGCCTTGGCGGCCAGCCTGAGGTAGGGCAGGCTGGGGAGACAGGCCAACCCAGGTTTATTCTCTGTGCTGCCCACTAGAACTTTCTGCAGTGTTGGAAATGTTCAATGCCTGTGCTGTCCCAAGCAGTGGCCGCTAGCCACATGTGGCTAATGAACACTTGGAATGGGCTGGTATGTATGACCAAGGAACTAAAAGTCTGATTTTATTGAATTTTAATTCATTTATATTTAAATAGCCTTGGGTGCTCAGTGGCTGCCATTTTAGACAGTGCAGCTTGGAGCACGTGTTTCTAATCCTGAAGCTATCCTAAGATATCTAAAAAAATCTTTTGAGCTTCTTGGTGGCACCTGGGACAAACCTTTTTTTAGAATGAGAGAACAGCAGCAGCCATTCTTAGTGAAGGCCATACTGTGTGCAAGATCTTCTTCAGATGTCAAGCATGTTACCCATTAAACAGCCCACCAGGTCAGGGACAGTGTGACTGTTTGGCTCTAAGGGAGCCGCAGCTCAGTGAAGCTGCGTAGCCTGTTCAGGGACACACAGCTGGGACTGAAGAGCTGGAATCTGAAGCCAGGGCTGTGTGTCTTTGGCGTGGCAGTGTCCAGTCACTGCTCCTCCTGCCAGTAATGGAAATGTTCTGTGATCTGTGCTGCCAGTGTGGTAGCCACCGTCCACCTGTGGCTGCTGGACACTTGAAATGTTGCAAGTGCAACCAAGGACCTGAACTTTAAATGTGATTTAATTTCAATTAATTAAAATTTAATTACAACTTCCCCCCGCTGCTAAATTACTACCCTCCACTGCCAAGTTTGACTGGCTTAATTAAAAAAAAATTTAAACGTAAATGGCCACACATGGCATATGGCCACCATCCTGGGCAGTGCAGCCCAGGGTCTGTGCTCTTAAGCCACCACGCTGTACTGACAGTGACTCATTGTACCCATGTAGGGTTACTTTGCTGCGGATTGGGTGTCCCAGCAGGGGTTTTTCGACTCATGGGCCCCCCAGCCCCTGGGCAGTCAGTTCCTCTGCCCTGGAGCAGTCTGCCACTCCCCAGTGCAAAGCACTCACTCAACACCCACCAGCTGGGGACTATGCTGGCCAGGGCTGGGGGCCTGAGCTGCCCTCCCACCCAGCCACTTGTGTTGCAGCAAAATCAGAGCTTCCTGCGTCTTTTCTGGCTCCAGGACTCCCCTGGCTTCCAGGCATAGAGCATATCAGTTCCTGCCAGCACTCAGAGGGGTCAGAAGGCCTATGGGAAGTCAGAGGTTGGGAGGAGGAGGGCTCGGTGCAAAATAACTCACACCGGGTCAGGGTAGCCTTGTGGATGTGTGTGCATGAACCAGGGCCCCTGCTTCCTGGGCTTCATAAGCACAGAAGCATGTTTGTGTCTGATAAATGTTCGTCATTTCTTAGAAAGACATACTGTATGTTGTTAGAAAAATTCAAATATTAAAAAACATTTCATGTATATGGTACTCCAGAACCTTTCCTAGAGGAAGCCACTTGGAATGTGATATATATTCCTCCAAGTTTTTTCTATAATACACTAATGTGAGAATGTATATTTTTTTTTTTTTTTTGAGACAGAGTCTCACTCTGTTGCCTGGGGCGAGTGCCGTGGCATCAGCCTAGCTCACAGCAACCTCAAACTCCTGGGCTCAAGCAATCCTACTGTCTCAGCCTCCCGGGTAGCTGGGACCACAGGCACACACCACCGTGCCCGGCTAATTTTTTTTTCTACATATATTTTTAGCTGTCCAATTAATTTCTTTCCATTTTTTGGTAGAGACGGGGTCTCGCTCTTGCTCAGGCTGGTCTCGAACTCCTGAGCTCAGAATAATCCGCCCACCTCGGCCTCCCAGAGAGCTAGGATTACAGGCGTGAGCCACCGCGCCCAGCCGAGAATGTATATTTTTTAACAAAGGTGGAGTCATATTCTATATACTGTCCTATAACTTCTCTTTTTTACTTACGTATTTATCCAAAGATGTGAACTGAGTGCTTGTGACATGCTGGTGGCCTTCTCGGGTGCTGGGTAACAAGACAGCTCAGCCTTCTCCACTCTCAGGACACTTGCCTGCCAGGCAGAGGGGATGGATAGTAAGCACACAAATTAATAAGGGAATCAGGCAGTCTCCCATTGTGTTGGGGAGTGAAGTGAACTGCACAGTGAAGAGGGGTGCCCTTTTGTCTGCAGACGCTGAGCCTCGATGCCTTGTCCATGGTCTACCCACCGCAGCAGGTGTGTGGCGCCGGCACCGCAGCTATTCTGCAGTTCCTCTGCAAAGGTAAAGCCAGGCTGCCTGCCTCTTCCCCTCAGTGAGGAAACGTGACCCCAGCAGCCAACCAGTGCTATCCCAGGCTAGGGGATAGCAGAGACCAAGATGGCCACATTGCCTGCCTGCTCGGAGCTCAAGGTCTAGCGAGGGACGTGGGCAAAACAAATGATCACATAGGGAAATACAATTACAGACTATGGTTACAAGACAGCATCATGGGGCATCCGATTTAGGCTGGGGCGTCCAGGAAGGCCTGTCTGAGAAAGTGGCCTGGCTGACACCTGAGGGATGCTTAGGACTTAGAAAAGGGGGAGGCTGCTCCTGGCAGAAGGAAGTGCAGGTGGGACTATGAGAGCAGGGAGCCCGAAGCATGGTGGAGAGAAGGCCAGAGTTGCGAAGCAAAGGGAAGAGAGAGAGGAAGCTGGAGAGGCCAGTGGGGCCCGGGCCCAGGGTCAGATGGAAGAGCCAGGTAATCAGACACTCCGGCTGCAGTGAGGAGAAGGGATTAGGGGAGGATGGGAGACTAGTTAGGGGGACACTGGGGTCATCCAGGAGAGAGACAACAGTGAGCTGGACTTGGAGAAGGGCCACGCAGCAGAAGGAGTCCAGGGGCCAGGAGGAGGGCAGGATGCCCTGTAAGGTTGGATATTCTTAGTGGTTCCTGTCACCTGTAGAACTTTCAGAACATAGCCAAGACTCACATGCCTGTGATCACCTCACTTATGATGACCATTGCTAAGCAATGGGAATGAGTGGTCTTTTCAATAGATGATTCTGGATCAATTGGATATCTGTGTGGAAAAAATGGACCTAAACCTCTTCCTTAAACAGGAGACAGCACTAATCATAAAAGTTTGGTAAATTAGATTTAGTTAAACTTGAAACTTCTCTTCTTCAAAAGAAACCATTTAGGGAGAGAAAGGGAAAGCCATAAAATTAGAGATGATATTTGCCCTACGTACATATCCAGCAAAGGACTCGTATCTGGGATACAGAAAGAACTCCTACAGATCCTTAAGGAAAAGGCATTATCCAAAGCCTTGAATGAGAATTTTGTAAGAATTTTACAAAAAATATCCGGATGGCCAGTAGTATGTGAAAAAAAGTGCTCATCATTTTAGTCAACAGGAAAATGTAAATTAAATTAAAACTGCAAAGAGATAGTTTGATACACCCACTAAAATGGCCAAAATTGAACTGTCAATACCAAGAACTATCGAAGATAAGGGAGCAACAGGAACTTTCATATGCTGCAGGTAGGAGTGAAAACTGAAAATTATTTTAAAAATTGTCAGTATCTAATCAAGCTGAACATTCAAATATCCTATGAGCCTTCAGTTCCTTTCCTGGGTATATGCACAACAGAAATGCACGGGAATAAATGCCAAAAGCCATGTGCAAAAATTTTCATAGCAGCGCTGTCGTAATAGCCCAAGTGTCCATCAGTAGTAGAATGGATAAATCAACTGCTTTATACTTAAATATGAGTACTATACAGCAATTGAAAAGAACAAACTACTGCTACATGCAGCAACCTAAATGACTCTCACAGACAGAATGTGGAGTGAGAGAAGCCAGACACGGAGGAGCATGTGCTTGTCTCAGCACACAGGCTCTGAACCAACACTCGTTCCTGGCCTTAAGGGCATGTTCACTTTTAAACTGCAGTCCCCAACCCCTGGGCCGTCGGTGACTGCTGGGAAACGGGCTGCGCACCAGTGCCTGAGCTCCGCGCCACACCCCCACACACAACACCCCACTGCCATCTCCAGTCCATGGAAATACTGTCTTGCATGAAACCTGTCCCTGGTGTCAAAAAGGTTGGGGACTGACCCCTGCTGTTAAACATTCATCAAGTTGTACACAAAGACTTGTGCTCTGTTCTGTACATATATTATACTAAAAAAAGAAGGGGAAGAGGTTACACACACATCACACCAGCGACCAGGCTGCTCTCATCTGCAAATTAGAGTCTCTGAGCAACAGGTGACTCTAATGTGCATGCTGGCCAGTGGTTGAGCTAGACCAAACCCTTTATTTTCTTTAAAAAGATTTTTAAATTATGAATATTTAGGTATACTATACACCTAATGAATAAAGCAGTGAACATTTGTATACCTACTACACAGCATAAGAAATAATCCTTTAATTTATTTAAACTATGTAGAAGTATACATATATATAAAATGTTTGTTCTTTTAAAAACATTTTAAAAACCATAAAAGATATCATACCATATGATTCTATGCCCTGCCTTTTTTCACTCAAGAAAATCTTGGGCATTTTTCCTATCTCATAATATTGTTTAAATGTTCTCTTAAACTGCTCTGTAAGATTTCATGTGCCAGCAGCCAGAGCTTAGTAGCGGTTCCTGGTGGTGAACGTGGAGGTTGTTTCCAGTTTCCTGCTGTTCTGAACATTTGAACCCACACCTCTCTGGCAGCGTGAACTTTCCTCTAGGGCAGACAGCAGTGGAGTTGGTGGGTGGAAGGGCACAAGCTGTCTCCACAGTGCCCTGGGGAGAGGTCACACCAGCCTCCATCCTGTGAAGAGTGTCTCAGGGGACCGTTTTTCCCCCTTTACAACCTGGTAACGCTTGGTATTATCTTAAAGAGTCTGCTAGTCTGGTAGATAAACAAGAGAGCTTATTACCATTTCAATGTCACTTCCTTGATTATGTGAATTTTTTTTATAAGTCTACTGCCTGTTTTTAGTATTTCTTGTCACTACTGTTTGTGTCTTTCTGGGGTGGGGGAAAGACAGCTTTGACTACATCAAAATTTAAAACTTATTTATCTCAGAAGGACACCATCATCAAAGTTAAAAAGACAATTGACCACCTGGAAGAAGATAGTTGCAATATATATTATAGACTCAAGGTTATTAACTATAATATGTAAAGAGCACCTACAAATCAGCAAGAAAAATGCTAACAACCCAATAGAAAATGGGTCTAGGCTATGAACCCTTTCAGATTTTGCAGGAGGAAACTATGCAGAGCCAGAGAAGGAAAGCATCTTGCCCGAGGTCTTACATGCAGGGAATTATTGGTAAAGCCTGGTTGAGGACCCAGGTTTCTCCACTAGTTTCAGGCTTTTTCTACCACCTCATTCTCACCTGGAGGGTAAAGAGGCAGCCAGCGTGCCCATTTACTCACTCAGCTGACATTCATTGAGCAAGACCCCGGGGTGAGGACCCACGAACAACGTGGAGGGCGGTGGGCTTAAGTTGGCGGGGAGAGGCAGGCTGCTGGGGAGGAAGGAGGAGGACGAGGGTATGGGACCTGGCATGTCTGGGTACCTTCGCTGTGTGTTCCTCCTGGCCAGCTGTGTCCCATCTCTTGCAGAGTCAGGGCTGGAATACTACCCCCCTTCTCAGTACCTGCTGCCAGTTCTGGAGCAAGATGGAGCCGAGAACTCTCGGGACAGCCCTGACGGGCCCACAGACAGATTCTTGAGGGAGGAGGTAGAATGGCAGGTAAGGCAAGCCTGCCTGCTGGCAGGAGTGTGTGTGTGTGTTGATGTTTAATCATAAAGTAATTCATGCTCCTTGTTATAAATTTAAACAACACAGACAGTTGTAAAGTGAGTGAATTATAACTCTCGTGCCCTATCATCCCATCCCCTTGGAGGTGGGCATCCTTAACTGACTAATGAATGTCCTTCCAGACTTTTGTCTCAACACCTACATACATACGCTCAGAGTTGAGTTGTCTTTACAAAAGTGGGATCATGCGCCACACGGGTGAAGGATGGCGACATCTTTTTCCAAAACTACGTGCATATTCACCCCACTGACGGTTGCATTAATAGCCCGGTGTATGGCTGCATCGTGACTTACTGACCTAATCACCTGTTGATGGATGTGTGAGTTCTTTCCAGTGTTTTTGCTCTTTTGAATAATTCTGCAGGAACTTGTACAGACACCTTTGTGCATTCGCGAGTATCTGGGTAGAAGTGGACAGTGCAGGTGTGTTGTGCAGACATCCAGGGAAATCAAATTTCCCATTTCTTGGTCTTCTTTTTGAAGCACCATGCCTGCTCCCCAGAACTGTCTAGAAGGGCTCCTTCCCTCTCTTTCCTACGGTGCCGAGCACATGGTAGCAGCCCCATGGTTCTCACCCTGGTGTCCCCTGGAACCACTTGGGCCCTGGGAAGCACCCATGTGCCCATGCCCTCCGTTCTGACACTGAAGTCTGTGTGGGCCAGAGTCTGTCTGAGGTCGGGCTGCCCAGGTGATCTGTGCATATGCCAGCGAGGGCCACTGCTGCCACCTTCTCTTGACCACCATCTTTTTTCCCCCCAGAATAGGTTCTCAGACTATGAGAAGAGAAAGGTAAGAAAATGCCTTTTCTCCTGTCACTTTTCTTCTCACTAAAGATCTCAACTCATAAAATATTTGAGGAAATGACTTTTTCCTGGCTCTAAATTAGAGGTTAAAGTAATGCTTTCCTCTTACACGCATTGTCTGCTGCATCCTCATGCAACTCAGCTGGGTGGTAGAGGAACTCCCTTTCACAGATGAGGCGACCGAGGCTCTAAACCAGCACCAGCCTTTCCCTGTGAACAACCTGATTTATTACGCTTGGGCCCTGGGGCAGGAGTGTGTGTGTGTGTTGATGTTTAATCGTAAAGTAATTCATGCTCCTTGTTATAAATTTAAACAACACAGACAGTTGTAAAGTGAGTGATAATACCAAGCGGGGTTGCTCAGCATAAGACCTGCAGCCTGTATTGTTCAGTGTTGAGGGTGGATTCACCTGTGTCCTAACGCCCACAGGGCCTGTGCCGACAGTCACTGGGATCTGTGTTCTTGCAGGAACAGAAGATGCTGGAGAAACTGGAGTTTGAACGGCGCCTGGAACTCGGGCAGCGAGAGCATGCCCAGCTCCTTCAGCAGTGCAGCAGTCAGAAGGACGAGATCCTTCAGACAGTCAAGGAGGTTTGTGAGCAGCCCAGTGGCCTCCTGGCTCAGGCTGAGGTCCCTCTGAAGTGGGAAGGCAATGGGATTAAGCTGTCACTTCTGTCCCCCAGCACCTAAGAGGGCCCTTAAAATCACCCAGTCTAGGCCAGGCGCAGTGGCTCACACCTGTAATCCTAACACTCTGGGAGGTCAAGGCGGGCGGATTGTTTGAGCTCATGAGTTTGAGACCAGCCTGAGCAAGAGCGAGACCTCGTCTCTACTAAAAAAAAAAAAAAATAGAAAGAAATTATCTGGAAAACTAAAAATATACAGAAAAAATTAGCCAGGCATGGTGGCGCATGCCTGCAGTCCCAGCTACTCGGGAGGCGGAGGCAGAAGGATATATTGAGCCCAGGAGTTTGACCACGGCACTCACTCTAGCCAGGGCAACAGAGTGAGACTCTGTCTCAAAAAAAAAAAAATCATCCAGTCCAGCCTCCTGTGTGCAGGTGGTCACTCTGAGGCCTATGGGGGAGGAACTGGCCTGAGGTCACACAGAAAGGACTGGCACGGTGGGATGGGAACGACACTGTCCTAACCCCAGTCAGTGCTCCTCACAGCCCACAGCATTTTAGGGGATCCCAGCTGGCTCAGGACCTCTGCCCACCCCCTCCCCGACTGCCACAGGAGCAGTCTCGGCTAGAGCAGGGCCTGAGTGAGCACCAACGCTACCTCGATGCAGAGCGGCAGCGGCTGCAGGAACAGCTGAAGCAGACGGAGCAGAACATCTCCAACCGCATCCAGAAGCTCCTGCAGGAGAATCAGAGGTCAGGCTCCTGTCCTCCTGGCCCGACTTGCAGTCCTTCCCCCATGTGGTACCCTGGAGGAGCCTGGGACGGAGGGTCCGTTTCTCCCTCAAGCCTCTGCTCCTGCCCAAGGCTTCCATGGTTAGAATCCAATCTGGATGCTTCGATTTGCACCAGCTTACAGGGAATCAAATCAGATCTGGGCACTCAAAGGTCTGGCTTCTTATCATGGGACTGCTACTGACTGGGCTGTGGCCTCAGACAAGTGTTTCCCCACTGGGCCTCAGGCTTCCCATCTATAAAGTGAGCAAGTTTAACAGGATCGTTGGGATCACATCCTGCTCCAATATTTTGGGTTCCACGCAACCCATTGCCCTGAGGTCAGCCTTTCGCCCTGTAATGAGATTTGCCTCAAGGAATCCTGTGCAGCGTAGGAGCTACTAAGACCTGCTTCAATGTAGGTCCTTATGGGGCTGGGGAGAAAAGGGGGCCAGAGAGAGATCTCAAGAAGCCTGAGATGTTTAGTTAGGGGGTCCGTTGCAGGAAGATCACGGACACAGGCTTCAGCCACAGGCCCTGCTTCCTCTTCTCTCGCCCGAGTCACTAGCTCCTCCAATCATCATCAGTTTCCAAGTGCCTCAGTGAGTCTGGGAAAGCTACCATTTGTTGGGTGTTTCCTATATGCCAAACATGTTATGTATGTTTCCTTATTTACTCTTTACAAATACTGCCAAGTAATTTTATTTATTTATTTTTATTATTCCCATTTCACAGGTGAGGAAAACTGGGGCTTGGAGTAGTTTGAGTGACTGGCTGAGAACCCAGAACTCCTAAGTAATGGGGCTCAGGCACCCCCAGCCCAGTTGCTCAGCCCCCTCTGCACAGCCGCACGGTGAGGCAGGACAGTTCTGTTGGAAACAGGCCCGCTAGTGACTGCAGGGACCTTTTTGGTTTTCTCCACAGACAAAAGAAAAGTTCTGAGATTTTGAAGTCACTGGAAAATGAAAGGTAAGTGTTCTTCCAGTGGGGCGGAGCTTTAGGGAGAGAATGTCTTGTGATTCTCCAGAAGATTGTGCCAGAAAGTTTCCCTAAAGCTAAAAGGAGATTCATCTCCTTAGAGAATATTTAGTTAAAAAGAGTCACTGTTTTCAAGTTTGTTAAAACTTGTGTACACTCCTGAGAAAAATTCAGAGAGATGAATAAAGCTGGATGGATAATGTCCAACTATATTTCCAGTATAAAAATTGGGGAAAAAATCCGTATTTCTGGAAAGAAGAAGAATTTAGTTACGCACATTACGTACAATGGAATAATGTGCAGCCATTAAACGTCTTTTAGAAGAATATTCCTCGTTAAGGGATAACACTCACTAGATATTGCTAAGTGGAAAAGTGACAGCTGCATTGAAAGCAGAATTTTTAGTACATGTTTGTTTTTTCTGTGACAGAGTCTTGCTCTGTCACCCGGAGCTAGAGAGCAGTGGCATCCTCATAGCTCACAGCAACCTCAAACTCCTGGGCTCAGGAGATCCTCCTGCCTCAGCCTCCCGAGTAGCTGGAACTACTGGTGCATGCCACCCGGCTATTCTATTTTTTGTAGAGATGAGGTCTTGCTCTTGCTCAGACTGGTCTTGAACTCCTGAGCTCAAGCAATCCTCCCACCTCAGCCTCCCAGAGTGTGTCATTTTTTTAAATATGGTCTGCATGAGTATCCGTTTGCAGAAAGCAAAAGGACCCACCCTAAATGTTAACACTGAACATTTTTGAGAGGTGGGAACTATAGGTGATGATCTTTACTTTTTTTTCCCCCTTTATTTTATATATTTTCCAAGTTTGCTGCATTGAGGCATACCACTTTTGTAATTAGAAAAGATGAGTAGGAGATGATGACTGTGAATTCCTCCTGGTTCTCTGGGATCCCAGGATAGCAGCATGGTCTTTGAGCTGTCCTGTGGGAGCCTCCTCTCCCACAGTCGGCCCAGCCTTCTAAGCCCCTGGCTGCCTGGTAGGGCCTTCTGGAGGGCACTCCCTTGGGGGTAGGAGGTGGCCCCATCATCCTGCCCACTTCAGCTGTGATGCGTGCTGGTAGCCAGCGTGGTCAGGGCCGAGCTGAGTGGTGGCCGGTGGCATCATTCATTCAGCACACACTGACAGAGTGCCTTCTCTGTGCTGGACCAGGCTGGGCTGGACAGCCAGATCCCACTTCCCCTGGAATAGCCTGCGCTCCTGGGCAGGAGGCAGAGGAACTCGGCAGTACAGGCTTCTTCCAACTAAGTCAGACCTTGGAGAAACGTTAAAGGATCTTGTTCCTACCAAGCCATTATTGCCCATTTGGTGTGGGGGGGGGAAGCATACACACAGCATGTGCATGTGTGTGTGTAATTACCTTTTTTATTTTCACTCATTACATCATGGGTGTATTTCCAAACCAAAAACCTCATTATTTGTAATAGCTGTAGAGTATTCCACTATATGATTTTATCACAATTTAATTAGCCCTTTGTTCATGGATTTTTAAGTTGTTTCCAATTTCTCATAATGGCAAACAATATTATGGTGAACATTTTCTAAATTTATGCACTTATGTGACTATTTTTGAAGGAAATATACAAAGGACATTTGAATAGGTGCCAGCTTGCCTTCTAAACCCATTTTGCCAATTCGTACTCCTCTCACTGGTGTATGGAAGTGCCTGTCTCTCCCTGTTGTCACCATCAGCTACCAATTATCTTAATCTCAATCAACCTCATAAGTGAAAAGAAGATTTACTTTCCTTAGTTACCAGTGACGTTAAGCATCTTTCCAGATCTTTATTGGTCACTTGAATTTAAGCATTGTCTGTTTGCATTCTTTGCCCACTTTTCTGAAGGAATTTTCGTCTTTTTATGCAAGATATTCTAACTACAAGGTTGAAGGTTAACAGAACCCCAAGGGATGCAGTGGGCATTCAAAGAGCACATCTATGTTGGCATGTCAGGGAGGGCTTCCTGGAGGAGGTGGTATTCATCTGCTGGGATTCCTTGTTGGAAGTATTACATTTACTGAAAGAATGGGTGAATTTTTTTCTAGAATAAGAATGGAACAGTTGATGTCCATAACCCAGGAGGAGACGGAGAACCTGCGGCGACGTGAGGTTGCCTGTGAGTTGTGGGGTGGGGCCGCGAGCTGCT